CTGACCACACCTCTGGTCACCAGGGTAATGTAGGGTACATCTCTTCACCAATAAGTGATATGCCTCTGTTTCATCTACAAACTTTTTGCCTTCAAAGCCACCTGCATAAATTCAAGATGGTCACACCAAGCCTGCCAAGTCTGTACAGATCACCAGTCTCCTTTCTTTTTCTTTTTAAAACTTTTAGTATGAATTAAATGATATTTTACAAGGGAGAACATTGGTTTTGCATGCATCCTATACTATTTTGTTTCATTGCAATGATTACAATCCCCTCCATGCATCACCATTTAACAGTATTTGCTTCTATTCCCTCTGGTGTTTTTTTCTTGTTGTTGTTGTTGTTGTTGTTGTTAATGTACATAAAAATACTCAGGAATATAAAATCATTTAAACAACCCAAGGGTGCATTTTGCAAGCCAGTCTCCTGGCCACCTTTCTCTTTCCATGAATCTAGAATCCTCAGCTGCTCTAATACTCCATGCCATCAGCTCTGCCTCCATCTCTGGTGTTGCTTCTTCTCTGGCTACGGTCCCATGTTCTGCTCATGCTCTTCTCTCTTGATAGTCCTAGGGTCCTCTGTTTCTGGAATGTAAGATTAACTACTTCCCCCTTTATGTTATAAAACTTCTACCTTTACAGTTGTAACAATCACAATTAGTCATGATAACAAACACTCAATATTGAATCAAAAGAATCCTATCCCCATCTCCTTTCACCAGACCCAACTAGACAAGATGAAAGCTATTCAGTGAGGGTTATACCTTCCCCATCCCCGCATACTCTGTAAGCCAGCCACTTCATGTTTTATAGCCTCTCCTCTCCCCTGCCCCACCCCCCATTTTAGGTATCCAATGTCTAATGTGCCCATCCCTATTAACCTTGTATACCAAGGGGATAGACTTGATCCTTGATGTGAAGACTTCTTCCCTCTCAGTTGTCATTTTGAGCTACTACATCCATAAGTATGTATCAAGTTCATCAGATTGCAGCAAGTTACACTTGCTTTCTTTATCTTCCTCTAGTAGAGCTCTGGTCATCAACCCATCAAACCTAGGTCAAATGGGCATTAGCTACAAGTCTGAGAATTCTTGTGCGTCTCCCCCCAATTCATATCAGTTGGATACTTCACTCTCAGCTCTAGCTCTCTGTGGCTAGGTCATCACACATACCTACTGAACAAAATGAAGAGATAAGAGTGGTAAGAAAGGTTAAATGTATGGTAGCATGTGATCATCTGTTATACTAAGACCTAATTTTAGCAGTTGGATATTGGACAGCTTTGAGTTTTGGAATCAGGCAGACAAGAATTCAAATCTTAGTTCCACTGTTGTCATGAGACTCTGCACTCAGAATTTATCCTCAGTATCTTTATTTCTAGTTTTTTAGATACCTTTTGTCACAATTTAAAAATGTTTTCACAGTTTTTGATCTAAACTGATTTAGGAGGCTCACATACTGAGAAAAATGAGCACAAGCACTATCTACTGACTAAATCTAATAGATACCGTGGAACCAAGGAAAAAAACACCAGCACAATATGGAAAATCAGCAACACAGTTAAATCTATACCAAATACGTCTATGCTTTAATCAATGTGTCCTATAACTAACTGCTAGGATGTAATTAATATCATCATTAAACAGGAGCTGACTTTTAGGGTACTAGGGTTATATCACATGTCGACATTTCTTTTCTCTATTATTTCAACTGCCTTTTTTGTTTCAGATCTGAATAAACTGAAGGTGATAATAGCTAAGGTTTTGTGGGGGTTTTTTGGAGTGGAAGTGGAAGAGCCAATAAGCTCAGACACACTTAAGATGTGAGAACTGTGAGTGGGACGTAGCACTTTGTCTTTGAACAAACTCTGGAGATGATTTGATGTATGCAAAAAGTTGATGTTGGGAGATTGTTGGTCACGGCATTCCTGCATTTCTGGATCATTCTTTGTTTCAGACTATCTTCTCTGGAGCTAAAAAACCAACAATGGAAGAACATGCTAAGCATTTCTCAAGCTTAAATAACTGAAAAAATTCAAATCTTGACTTGAAATATTGAAGGATTCCATGGGCAAAATATTGAATGATGCAGAAAGCATCAAAAGAAGATGGAAGGAATATACAGAGTCACTGCAACAGAAAGAAATGGTAGCATGTGATAAAGAAGTCCAAGATGAGCTGGAGGCATTGATGAAAAACAGCGCCCCAGAAATTCATTGAATGCAAATTGAAATCCTTCAACATACTGATGAAGCACCGCACATGTTCACTCATCTATGCCAAGAAAATTGGCACCTGGCCAACTGTTTGAAACAGATCCATATTTGTGCCTATTCCAAAGAGACGTGACCCAACAGAATGCAGAAATCATTGAATAATAATATCATTAAAATTACATGCAAGTAAAACTTTTTTGGAGACAATTCAAAAACAGTTGCAACAGTACAATGACAGGGAATTGCCAGAAATTCAAGCCAGATTAAGAAGAAGATGTGGGACTAGGGATATCATTGCTGGCATCAGATGGATCTTAGCTAAAAGTAGAGAATACCAGAGAAATGTCTACTTGTGCTTTATTGACCGTACAAAGGCTTTTGAATGTGTGGCTCATGACAAGCTATGTATAATATTGCAAACAATGGGTATTCCAGAACACTTAATAGTGCTCATGAGGAACCTGTACATAGTCCAAGAGGGAATCATTGGAACAGAACAAGGGGATACTGAATGGTTTAAAATCAAGAGATGTGTGCGCCAGGGTTGTATCATTTCACACTTATTCAATCTGTATGGTGGATTATATGAAGAAGAATGTAGCATCAGGATTGGAGGAAGACTCATTAACAATCTGCAATATGCAGATGATATAACCTTCCTTGCTGGGAGCAAAGAGGACTTAAAATAGTTACTGAGGAAGACCAACGACCATAGCCTTCAGTATGGATTACACTCCATTGTAAAGAAAACAAAATTCCTTATAACTGGGCCAATAAATAACATAAAGATAAATGGAGAAAAGATTGAAGTTGTCAAAAACTTAATTTTTCTTGGATCCACAATCAACACATATGGAAGCAATGGTCAAGTAATCAAATCACGTATTGTATTAAGCAAATCTGTTGCACAAGACCTCTTTAAAGTGTCAAAGAGCAACGGCTTCATTTAAAAAACCAAGGTGTGCCTGGCCCAAACCACGTATTTTCAATCACTTCATATGCATGTGAATGTTGGACAGTGAATAAAGAAGACCATAAAAGAACTGATGCATTTGAGTTATGGTGTGGAGGAGGATATTAATAGTACCATGGGCTGCCAGAAGAACCAACAAATCTGTGTTGGAATAAGTACAATCAGAATGCTTCTTAGAAGTGAGGTGGTGAGACTTCGTCTCTCATATTTCAGACATGTTATTAGGAGGAACTAGTCCCTGGAGAAGGACATTATGCTTGGCAACGTGTAGGGTCAGCAAAAAAAAACCGAAGACTCCAAATCAAATGGATTGGCTTAGTGGGACAAGCAGTGAGTGGGCTGAAACATAGCAGTAGTAGTTAGGCTGACACAGGACCAGGCAGTGTTTTATTCTGTTGTGTATAAGGGAGCTACATATTGGAGTTGATTCAATGACACCTAATAACAACATCTTTCCTGAAGTGTTTGCACAGAGACCAGTCTTAGAAGACAGAGACAGTGTCTCCATCCACGATAGAGAAAACATTTACTGTAGGATAAAGCACTGGATTGCAATGTCACTTTGAACCATGAGGTCTGTGGTTCAAACTCACCAGCTGCTCCTTGGAAACCCTATATAGGCTTGGTATAAGTCAGAGTGTACTCAATGGCAATTAACAACAACAACATAACAGAGACAATTCTGTATCTATCTAGGGCAAAGATTAAGCAAATTTTCTGGCAATTCCATTTTTAATTTTTCTGAGCACTCACTATGTTCCTTATATAATTTTCTATGCAAGTTTACTTTGAACTTATTATATTTTATAGACTAAACCCTGACATAGCATAGTAAGGGGGGATCCAAAAAGCTAGATTACGTAAAATATGAGTTTACAGTATTGTGAGGAATATGGTGACTCTGTATGAGAAGTAACAGACTGCAAACCACCTTGGTAGAAAGATGAGGCTTTCTGCTCCCACAAAAATACACAACCTCAGAAACCCTATACAGGGCCATGATGAGTTGGGATGGACTCAACAGCATTGAACAAAAATAATAACAACAATATTGATAGGATCAATAAAGTTTCCCAGGTGAGCTTATGCTTTAAAGAAATTATGAAAGCTTGGAGGTGGCATATTTTGGTACTAGCTGCTGGCAGTTGTACATTCTGACTTAAGTATTAGTGGCATTGTTTCTGGGGCCTATGGTTGTCAGGATGAGGGTGGTGGTGGTGGTGGTGGTGGTTGTGTGCCGTGGAGTTGGAACCGACGCATAGCGAGCCTGTACAGGGTTTCTGAGGCTGTAAATCTTTATGGGTACAGGATGATGGTAGTACTTTTAAAACCCTTCTCGTTAGTCAGTGCCTGTTTCATGGGTCAGGTCCAGGGAGAAGAGGACTGAGCAATAGCAGGGATGGAGGGCACACTCTTGATCCCCCAACTTCTGAGCTGAGCTTGCTCTTGCTTCCCAGTAGAACCTTGATTTTATCTTTTTGGAGGCTCATCAGTAAAAGGGAGCTGCTATTTTTTATGGGGTTAAACATGCAAAACAATGAGTAGTATTCACAGTGTACCTACAGAGAGACCAAGCTTAAAGGAAAACTAAATTTTTTTTTTTTTTTTACTGAGGAACAACCCTAAACTTGATTTTCTGGCAACACTCGTTATTCACGGCTCAAAATGTAAGCTGACTTAAGGAAAAAGTGATGAGAATGTAAGGATGAGATTTAGCTAACCAGGAGTGTGTTATCTCATGTGTTTCTAGATAGATTTCCAAAGGAAAAATCAAATATTTAAAAATAAAAAATAGAAAAAGGGAAGTTTTTGGATGCCAATTTATTTCTAAATTCAGTTTGTAGAAAGAAGCACTGCATCTCCAGTATGACAGAAAACTGTATGTGAGAAAATAAAGGATTTTTTTTAAAGAAATGGTGAAATCTTTAAATCCAGAACTACTTTGTATCTTCTGCCAGCATAGAAACAATTTCATTGTAAAGTTCTTGAGGGGCATCCATTGCCCAGATAAAGTCCAAATGGTTGTAAGGGGGAATCTTTCTGTGGTATTTGAGATTAGTGAGCTTTGGAATCAAATTATCAACATCTTGTGGGTCAGCCAACCAGTCATTTCCACCGCTCCACACTGCAATTGGCACAGTCATGGCTGTCACATTGTAGTAGGGAGGGGTAGGCTAGAAAATGAGAAGAAAACAAGCATTTGTATAGGTAACCATGCTTTAAGGCAATACTTACTTCTTAAGTAGATTCTGTAACATTAACTGATCGAGGTCTACAAACATATGTGAATTCCAAGGCAAACATTGCTCAGAGAATGTCTCCTCTATTCTCACACAGCAAACTGGACAGAATTAATTTTAGACCAGTGCTTTTCCAATTCAAATAGGTCTATGAACCACCTGGGGACTTGTTAACAATGCAGGTTCTGATTCTGCAGACCTTTAGGATGGACTTCAGGTTCTGCCTTCCAAGGTGAACCTGATGGTTGTTGCTACAGATCTGTTTTAAATAGTATGTTTTTTCATAACAATTATCATTCATTAAAAACCTAGACTTCAACTCAAATTGAAGAAAGTGAATTTGATTGCATTCTAATCGTACTGGATTGCTTCCACCCCAAAACTCTAATGTGTGATCTCCTCAAATTGTCCCGCGTTATTTATTTTTCTTTCTATTGACTTATAAGTATGGTCAATAAGTCAGTCAGTCAATATGTTAAGGGCTGTATTTTTGAATCCTCATCTGGTTACTAACTATTGCTTCAAGTTATCAGCCCTGTTTCCAGTTTTTAAATAATGATCATTTATGCATAGATTTTTATGGCTATGCATAAAGCTCAAAAAGAAAATAAGAAAATCGTTTCTAATTTTATAACTGTTCATGGAGAATTTGTTTGGTTTGTTAGAGTATACTCTCAACAATACTAATCCAAGATGACAATATGTTTCCACTATAATCTATGTAGGCGTCCTGGTGTGGTGTTGTAGGATAAGCCGTGGACTGCTAACTACAAGGTCAGTGATTCAAACCTACCAACTGCTCATTAGATACCCCCTACAGGGTCACTATGAATCAATACTGGCTTGGCAGTACACAGCAACAAAAAATCTATGTAATAGTGTATTATGTGGGTGAATGGGAGACAGGGGAGAGGTTTGATGTCATGGAGGAAATTTAAGAAAATAATTGTCTTCCTTTAAGCCTAGGTCTGGACCCCAACATGCCTTTGGAAAATATACTCAAGATTACCACAGTTGCTTCTTTAACATGTTCATATCTTTGAATTATATCAACTTTAAGACGTTTACCTGATTATAGTGCATCTTGTTCTGAGCAGGGCTTCCCCAGTCAAATGCTTGGAATCGCCCAGACTTAACAGCCTAGAGAAAAGACAGACACACACAAAAAAAATTTTAAAAAAAAAGACTGATGAATAACAAATGTATGCAACCACAAAGAAATAAAAACTAAAAACTTCTCTATGTGAAGTTGTTGTATTTTCTTTTCTAAAGTAGTTATATTATCGCTTTGATTTAAACAGCTATTGGAAAATATTTTCATTTCAAAAAGAAAGATTATTGTTCATCAAGAGCAAGGTATTTATGCAACTTTAACATGTAGCTATAATTGAACTCCTTTTTCCTGTTCCCAAACCATTCACTTCTTTTCTACTTAAAGCATCTGTTTTCCTCAGATTGTAATTCACATGGATTGATTGTTACTTTCAGCTGGTATTCACATAGCAGGAAAGTTCTCTACCAGGAGCATTTGAAAGAATGTGCTCTAGGCAAAATACTAAAGTTCAGGCCCACATAAAAAAATTGTAACAAAATTTTGTGAACTGATACCTGGCTCCAGTGGAGTACATTTTGAACGGACGTTCCTGCTGGATTATGTGATAAATACACATCCAAACGACTCTAGAAGTAAATACATACACGCTTAGACACACATGCTCAGTTTCTCCAGAGAAAATATTGACATTGTCAAAGATTTTATGTTATTTGGATCCGGAAACAATATCCATGGAAGCAGTAGGTAGTCAAGAAATCAAAGGACACATTGCATTGGAAAAATCTATTGCAACAAACCTCTTTTAGATGTCAATTTCAGGATTAAAATGCGCTTGACCCAAGCAATGGTATTTTCCGTTGCCTCACAGAGGCTTCAAAACTTCATGGGAAAATGGAATGAAAGGACAATGGACAGAACTTATGAAAGTATATATGTAACAGTTGTACATCACTTTAGAGCTTGCAATGTTCAGATTGCATCTGTTGATTTATTTAATTTGTACTCAATGAAGAAGCGTCATCATCTGCATCTGATCAAAATAAGAATCAAGACTCACAGAGGTTTAAAGAGATACACATGGCCATATAGCTAGTAACAGGACAGAGCCAGAGACTTTAATCTAGGTCTCTGAGTCTAAATTCTAAGCATTACTCTCTTCTCTACCAAATGCCAGGCTGCAGTGACTTAAATGACCACAGACAGTCCTGTCTCTTAGCAGAATTATAAATATAAGTAGTAAATTTACCAATTGTGCTCTAGGTACCCTAATCCACATTGTTCTGGCTACTAGCAATATATTGAGGTTCCCTCTCAGATTGCATAAACTAGTTCATAATGGATCTTAATGTTACTATACAGAGGACATTGGATGGAGTCAAACACATCCACCTTCTTAGGGAAGCAAAGCTTCTTCCATCTCTTTATCATGTCGAAGATTAAATCTCCAGTTTCCTTTGTTCCCTTTGCTCCCATATTACAGTTATGTTTCTAGTAAGACTCTTGCCGATGGAATGCAATAATCGGTGCTACCTTTTCTTATTGTAATAAGAACAATCCATTCAATGGGACTCTATTTATGAAACGGTAAACATTCCCAGCACCATGAAGAGGGACTCCCTTGCAAGAAAAGAAAAGGCAGTCCTTGTTTACTATCCAGATTGAGAAAAAAGCAAAGATTTTTCATTTAGGTATTGTTTTTGTTAATTGCCGTCAAGTGGGTTCCCACTCACAGTGACCCTGTATAGAGTTTCCGAGGAGCGGCTGATGAGCTTGAACCACTGACCTTGCAGTTTAAACCAAGCTTGCAATCTAGTGCATTAACCTGCAGCATGACACCAGCACTCTCACTCATATAGTATTTTTAACATATCCACAGAAATGATCACCAACATTTAGAAAGACCTGAACTGAGTCTCGTTGTTTTCCATGAGGCCAAGGGTCCTGCCACCTAGTTGCTGCGTGCCCAGTAAGTAACACATTTAGTTTGTTGTTGTTAATTAATTGTCGTTTGACTCATAGTGACCCTGTAGTGTCTCAATAAATATAGTTTGGTTAATATAAGGAGCCCTGGTGGTGCAGTGGTTAAGCACTCGGCTGCCAACCAAAAGGTTGGTGGTTCCAACCACCTATCTACTCCATATGAGAAAGACTTGAAAGTCTACTTTCATAATGATTATTGTGTTGGCAGTTGTATGGGTCAGTTCTACCTGTCCTATAGGGTCATTGTAATCGGAATTGAATCAACACCAATGCATTTTTGGTGGGCCTCTTTTGGAGTGAGTAGAGGTAGAATTTCCTATAGGTAGAATTATAATTTCTTATCAATGAACTTGATTTTCTTAGATGTTCATGGTTATATAACTAAACTGACAAACTGAGTGAAGATAGTTTTCTATGTATAGTAGCAGTAGTAGCAAAACATATGCTATTTCGTGTGCTAGATGCTTTGTACTATGTATTATGCCTTATATATATTATCTCATTAATCTTCACAATAAGTGATTTTAAGGATGACAAGTCCAAGACAAAGGCATTTTAGACAATTGTAAAGGTAGAATTTTAATTCAGGCTCTTAATTTCAATCCATACTCTTAATTCCTTTATTATACTGTGTTTAGTCACTTAAGTCCTAAAACACAAATTCAATGTAATGTAAATAAAATAGCCAATGAAGAGTATGGGGAAGATCTTACATCAAAGATTTTTCTGAAACAGGGTTTATAAAATTTATGGGAATGACAATCAGCATTAAAAATATCCATAAGAACATTTATTCAATACTGAGATACTTCACCCATAGAGGACTTGCCAAAATATAGGACTAAGTGCCTAAGTGCCTTCCCTCACGAAATTTAAACGTTACACAAATTATTTAGGTGGTCATAAGTGAGTAATGTGCTTTTTTTCCCCCCCTACTTTCTACATGTTGTTTACTTAATGGAGTAATTGGGATTATTTGGGTAATGGAAGGGAGTTGAAAGTGACACGACTGGGAGCAATAACGTATGATTTCTCTTAGGTTTACCTGCCTATCATTGTCATAATTCTGAAGCTATCCCTAGTTCTCAGAAAATGCCATTGATAGGTCAAAATGGGGAAAGTACTCAGATTTTGCTCAGAATATTCAGGGTTGAAATTGTAATGGATACAAACCATGTTCAAGTTCTTCGTGTCAAATCCACAGATGATAAATAAGGCATTGCTGCAGAGGCGATTCAGTGTCTCACGGTTACACACTTCAGTAGCAAGAAAATTATCAAAAAAGTTGTGTGGGTAGAATATTTTGTTACCAAATATAATCTGAAAATTAAAGGCATAATTAGAGGTTTACAGCAATCAAACTGCAGAAGACTCAATTGAAGTAATCTACTTATACAGTAGTAATTAGATGGAAGATATTTTGTTATTTCTACATGTTGTTTTAGACATTTCAAATGCTTCCTCTCATTTAATTTAATAACAAAGTTGTGAAATTGGCAGGTATCACTACTGCTTATGTTATAAGGGATAAAAAAAGACCACAACTTCAACTGTATAAATATTATAGAGACTCTTTGTTACGTCTTAAACAGTAGGAAGAACAGGACAAAAACAGAATATCAAGTGAATGAAATGGCAGACATCATGACGAATTTACAAAGTTCTGTCTCCTTGTGGTGACCTTTTATAGAGCACACAGGGCAAAGGAACCATGACGGAAGGCAGTAATGCCTCACATGCTCATGCCTGCAGAAAGCAGGGTGGGGACTATTGCAGATAGAAAAGCCTTATAGACTGTCTATGAGGCTCTCAGAGTTAGACATCACAACCAAGAGGCCATTAAGAGGTGTGTTCAGGAATGTTCCTATGAGAGTAGCCTAGGGGAAGTGGTCCCCAAACCACTTTTAAATAAACTCTGCTTCTAATTCTGACAGCTAATTTATCATTGGTGCATAAGGTACTCAAGAAAAACTGGCTTCTGAACACTTAAACCTACACACAGGTAGGCATTAAGCTCTGCCTGACTGGCATCATTAGCCAACAAAAACCCTTCAGCTATCATGCTCTTTGGCAGTTATCTAATATTGCATTTAATACGATATTGGCTGCTGAGAAGTATGAGACACAAGGTGTTACAGCCTAGTTAGGGTGATAATATTGATAGAATAAAACCCTTTTTCCTAGTCCCTACTTTTCCTTTTGCTTCCTACCAATGTTCATTTCCTATGGCTTGTGTGGTTTAGAATTTTTTCCTTGTCTGTTTTGAGGGGGTTATTTTTATTTCCCCTTTTTCACTCCAGGAGAGGAGTTGCAGCCTTGATGTTGTTGAGTAGGGCTCTTGATAATTGAAACATCTATGAAAGAGCAAAACTATTCCATGTTGCCCCATGAAAGCTAATCAAGAATAAAGACATACATGAGCCATAGTGGGGATTTAAACATGTCAATAAAAAGAGAAATGAATGCATTTCCAGTCTAGGACACAAACTATTGTCCACCAGTGGTTTTTTTTTGGTTTTTGTTGTTGTTGTTGTTGTTGTTGTTGTTCTCATCATTTTGAAATCCATAGTAATTGGTAGTTTAGATTCAAATTCATTAAAGAGACTCACATACCTTGAAGAGGAACGTAGGGACAAGGCTAAGTTTATTTAGAAGAGTTTTGGTGTACTTCACAGTGGCCACTGGAGCTAAGGCATAAAATGTTTTGATTCTTTTCGCCAATTGGGGATTGGTGGAAAAGGCAATAAAACCTGAAAGAGAATAAGGAACCCATTTAGAAAGTGTGTTTTCATTGTTGGTTTTGCTATTGTTTATGGTTTTCTTTACAAGCTATTATCTTGCATTTATAAGTGAGGCATCTGAGACAGTCTGAAACTTGGCACGTCTGTTCGTACAAAGTATATCTTACTGTATATGCTTTATTCTTATTTCCATGGGAATAAGAAGCTAGAACCTTTAGTGTTTCTTAAAATTTTTGTTTATCTGGCCTTAGAAAATAGGCCAGATCTAGAATAATCATACAATGACACAAAAAAAGAAAGTTATTATTTATATGACATAGGTTTTGATTAATTTAAGTACAATTTGATAATTAGCATTAAATATAAGTTGTTGGTCTTGTTGTTAGTAAGTGCTGTTGTGTCAGTTCTGACACATAGCAACCCTGTATGGGGTTTCCTAGGCAAGGCTGGTGAGCTTGAACCACAGACAATGCAGTTCAGTGCATTATTACAAAGTGCTACAGGGCATATAAATGGACATGTTAAAAGCACAAGTTTGAAGTCTGAAGGAACTGGTTTGAATATTGGCTCTGTCTTCTATCAGCTTTGTGAGAAGTTACCTACACTCTAAGAGCTTTAGTTTACTCATTTGAAATGCAAAACTATTAATGAGAGATTTGTTAGGTTGTTTGGGAACTAACTAAATGAGGTGAATCATGCACATAGTAAATACTTGATAAATGACTAAATCAAAAACAAACAAATGAAAACCTCCAAACCCGCTACTATCAAGTCTATTGTAATTCATAATGATCATGTATAGGGTTTCCAAGGCTATAAATCTTTACTGGAACAGAAAGCCTCAATGTTCAAACAAATGGTGGATTTGAACTGCCAGCCTTACAGTTACCAGTCCAGTGTTTGTCCTATAGAGACACCATGACTAGCCAAGAGAATTCAAACATCTATAAACAAATATAATTAGCTCTATCTGTAATTAATTGGTTTTCTAAGCAGCAGCATATTAGTATATTAGAATGTGATCAAATAGTTAAGTTATATTATCTAAAACCTTATTATATATATTAATCCCACCCCACTGCTTATAATGACAAATTGTTCATCTGATTTATTTACTACCAGTATTACTTTGCACAAATGATTTGTCCCCCTCCTCAATCACTTTGTCCTGTAGGGATCTCATAGAATGAATGTAAATCACTTAGCATGGTACCCAGTATGCCTACCACAATGGACTAAACTACCTGGCTTTGGTTGCCTTTACATACCAATGGTGGTCCCTTGGGAATGGCCAACATAGTGTAGCTTCTCTTGTCCAGTTTTCTTTACAATGAAGTCAATGGTGGCTGGCAGATCATATTTAGCCATTTCATCAAAACTGCATTTAAAAATAAGACAAAATAAAATTGAATGCATGTCCTTGCTATAGTTTCTAAAATTCAAACATATTTATAACCATTGAGAAATAGAAAGCTAGAGTCTCTAAGCAGTTTTAAAGAACATTAATGGGCAAGGGGTGCACTTTGAAGTGACTTCTTCTACACCATACCATCATTTCTGAAGCTCAACATTAGAGCTGAAACTTAATCCATTTAAGATATCGTCTATACGTGGACAATGATTTTTGTCCATGAAACTGAATATCAGATTTATTAATCATTCATATGCCATATTCCAATGTCATGTAATATAAACCCTTTTCCTCTTTAATTTGTTGTTGTTGTAAGGTTCTGTAGAGTTGCTTCTGATTCATAGTGAACCTATGCACAACAAAATGAAACACTGTTAAGCTTCAGCCTACTAATACTGCCAACTGTGCCAATCCATCTCATTGGAGGTCTTCCTCTTTTTTACTGACCCTCCACTTTCCCAAGTTTGATGTCTGTCTCCATGGACTGGTCCCTCCTGATAACATGTATGAAATATGAGACAAAGTTTTGCATTCCTAGCTTCTAAGGAGCACTCTGGCTGTACTTTTTCCAGTACAAATTTGTTTGTTCTTCTGGAAATCCATGGTACTTTTAGTATTTTCCTCCAACATCATAACTTAAGTATATCAATTCTTCTGCGTTTTTTGTTATTCATTGTACAACTTTCAAATGTATGTAAGGCTATTGGAAATGCCATGGCTTGGGTCAGGAACACGTTAAACCTCACTGATCTTTGCTCTTGAAAATTTTAAAGAGGTCTTGTGCATCAGGTTTGCCCAATGCAATATATCGTTGGATTTCTTGACTGCTGTTTCCATGAGTATTGGTGGATCCATAAAAAAAGGAAGTCTTCAAAACTTCACTTTTCTCTCTATTTATCATGATGTTATTTATTGGTCCAGTAATGATTTTAAGGAGCCCTGGTAGCATAGTGGTTATGAGTCAGGTTGCTAATATTGAGCCATATTTCATACCTGGTATGAATTCTACTTGATCATCATTTATTTATTATTATTTTGGTATTGTTCTAATATTTCATTCTATTGGCTAGGATTTTATTAAGAGTTTTTATATCTAAGTTCATGAAGGACATTGGTCTATAATTTTCTTTTTCTGTGACGTCTTTGGTTATACTTACTTCAAAAAATGAATTCAGGAGTTTTTTCCATCCTTTTCTTTATTTTGGAATAATTTGTCTAAAATTGGTATCAGCTGTTCTCTGAATGGCTGGTAGAATTCACCAGTAAAGTCATCTGGGCCTAGACAGTTTTTTTTTTTCTGAAGTCTTTTAATGACTTGATCGATTTATTCTCTTGTTATTGGTCTGGTCAACTTTTCTACTTCATTCTGTGTTAGTTTCAGTAGGTTGTGTGTTTCTAGAAATTTGTCAATTTCTTCTAGATTTTAAATTTGTTCAAGTATAATTCTTCCTAGTATTCTGTTATTATCCTTTTATTTCTATTGATTCTGTTGTGACATCATTCATATAATTTCTTATTCATGTTATTTGCATCTTTTCTTTTGTTGGATTTGCCAGGGATTTCTCAATTGTATTAATCCCTTCAAAAAACCATTTTGTTTATTCTATTTTTTTGGTTTTGTTTCATTTATTTCTGATCTGACCTTAATTTATTCTTTTCTTCTGGTGGCTGTAGGCGTACTTTGATGCTCTTTTTTTCTAATTGTTGGTGATGTTGTGTTAATACACTGGTTTCCGTTCTTTTTCTTGGATGTGTGCATTTGTTGCTATAAATTGCCCTCTGAGCATTGTTTTTTGAACTCTAATTTTCATAGGTGGTGTGCTCAGCCCTGCCTCATCTGGCCCTTGCTAGTATCTCCAGTCTCATCTTCTGTGACTCTCTTTCTTCTTTACTTTAACTTCCTTGCAGTTCCTAGAACTGTGGGAGCACTCTCGTGCCTCCGCATCAACAGATTAACTTCCTACCGTACTTCACATCCATCAGTAATTTCCAGTAATAAGAAAGAGGGCCAGTGAAAGAAAACCTTTTATAATCTTTCTATGATGAATGAATTTCATTCTTCTCCCATCCTACTGATAATGATTCAGGTTAATGTGCTGGACTGCAAAGTTGCTTTGAAACTTGAACCACAAGGTCAGCTGTTCAAGCTCACCAGCTGCTCCCGGGAAACCCTATACAGGGTTGCTATGGGTCACAAGTGATTCAAAGGCACTTAACAAAACAACAATTCTGGACTTGGTTTTAACATCATCTTGAATTAGTATGCATAATCCCTGAAGTATTTGAAGTGGGCAGGGAATTTTATTGCTTGAATCATACTGTCCATTCCATTTGGAAAACTGTATTCAGTGATCCCCTCATAATGAATATTGAACAAGGAAAGTTTGAAGGAAATGTGTGACAGTTAACATTTTGTGTCAACTTGACTGGGCCGGGATTCTCAGTGGTTTGGCAGTTGAGATGGCAGTTGAGTCATCCCCCATGTGAGATCTGGTATAATGTAATAATTTCCATGATGAGATCTGCTATGAGCAGCCAATCAACTGAAAGATAGTGTCTTCAGAAGTGTTGCCTGCTTCCAATATATTACACACTCATCAAAACTTGCTATTTTCTACTGTGTCTGGATCCTGGCTTGTCTTCCAACCTCCTTCTGTTTGTACTTAAGCCAGTGGCCTGCTGATCCTTGGAGTCGTCAGCAGCTTGCCATTTTCCTGGCCTGACCTGTCTGACTGTCATCTGACCTGCCAATCTCAGTTCATTGACCCTGAATCTATCTGAGTAAGAAGGCTCTAGCCTGACATTTTACCCATGGAATTGGGACTTGCCTACTTCTACAATTGTGTGAGACATTTCCTTGTTACAAGCTATAGTTCAAACTCAGCAATCACACCTCAGAAACCCTAAATGGGTCGCTGTGAGCCCAAATTGACTCAACGGCATTTAACAACAATCTATAAACTTCGCTGGTTTTGCTTCTCTAGAGAATCCAGCATAACACAAAACGATATCCTTGGAATGAGGTATATGAAAGAATCCCCAAGAAGGTTTTAAAAGAGAAATCACTTCCTTCTTCTGGTACTTGGAGTATAATTTATCAATATGATGTTAGATTAGAAAGTAAAAATATCCATGCATTTTTAAAGCCTAACATATATTTCATGATTCCTATATTTAATTGTTTTGCTTCTTTACCTGAAAGCCCAGAATTCAACTGAGTCTGGTGAATAGTATAAATTTTTTCTAGCCCAGGTGTTTCCTCTGCTGTTCCCCAGCCACACATCATAACCAGCATCCGCCAGAATGAAGGCCAAGCTATTGTTGGGCAGATTAGCAATCCAGTTTGTGGCTGATGTGAGCAAACCATGCTGCAAAAACACTACAGGTCTGTGGTCTAAGGAAGGAAAAAATTAGATATTACAAATACATTCCTTAACATATATCTCCTATTCTGTCTTGATAGAATAGGAGAACCAAGGAGAATATTATATCTGGACCGCTTAACACAAGGTTGGCATTTCAAACACTGGTTCCTCTTTGGAAAACTGATACAGGGTTTCTATGAGTTGGAACTGACTCGAAGGCACTTAACAATAGCAATAACATTCTAAGAAAATCATAAAGATGAAATAAACTTATATATGACTACATATTTGATCATTTCATTTGATTAAGCAGTGTAATTTTGAATATCTTACCTTGATTGTGGTGAGTTAACCATTGATCATTGACACCCACTAGCTGCTCTGTGGGGGAAAGATGTGGCATTCCACTTCCATTAAGATTTACAACCTTGAAAACTCTAAGGGGCAGTTATACACCATCCTATCCAACCACGGCCATCCAGCTGATTCCGACTCATAGTGACCCAAGGCCAAGTTTCTGAGACTATTAATCTTTACAGGAGTAGACAGTTTCATCTTTCTCCCACACTCTGTCATATGGGTTGCTGTAGTTGTTAAGTGCCATTGAGTCAGTTCCAACTAATAGCACACCGACCTTGTGGTTCAAACTGACCTTTCAGCTCAGTGCTTTATTCTACAGTGCCACACCATGACTCCACACTCTGTTATATAAGGTGTTATAAATCAGAATTCACAAGGAACACAACAACAACAATGTCAAAAATCAAGTTTTATACTTTAGATATGTGGTTTGTTACATGTCAATCATACCTCAATGGTTTCTATAGTTGTTAGGTGCTGTGGAGATGATTTCTACTTATAGCAACCCCTTGTGACAAAGTATAATTGTCCCATAGTGCTTTCTAAGCTGTAGTCTAAAGCTGTCAAAAAAAATTATATTCTAAGGAAATATACCAGTATACTAAGTGTATTCTGGATGGCTTTTCTTTTAGTACTTTACAATTTTTCTACAGTGAGGAAACAGTAATTTTTTATAGCATTATTAAAAATGACTTCTGTTTAGAAAATGAGACTCTAATGGTCTCCCTCTGCTCCCCTCTGGAACATGTGCCACAATAACTTTTCCTTTTCTTCTAAGACTCAACTCAGTTATTGCCTCTGAGAGAAAGCTTTCATGGACTTTCCCAAGCTAAGTTAGGTGCCCTCATTAGAGATTCCAGTTTAATATCCTGTGTATAGTGTGGTCCTATGGATAAGACTGGACTACCAACCTCAAGGTCAGTGGTTCAAATCCACCAGTCACTGCTCGGAAACCCGATATAGGGTTGTTATGAGTCAGACCAACTTGACAACGCTTAACAAGAGCATAGTTCCAACATGGACATTATTACTTATAATAATAATCTATTTATTTACTTATCTTACTGTCTACATTGCAAGCTTCTGTAGATCTGGAAATATTGTTCAATTATTATTTTATTTCCATGATGAGCAGAATCCATTAAATAGTTATGAAGAAATAAAATGAAGAAAAAAGAAAGTGAGAATGGAGAAAAAATGATAAGGACAGGAGAGGAGGTATGAAGAAAGAGGAAAGTGGAAAGAGTTAAAAAGGAAGGTAGGGGAAAAGTTTGTACCTCTATTCCCTGAATTCTTCTTTCCATGGGGAATCCTGTAAACCCCAAGAATATAACCATCTTCAGTCACAACGTCATATTCTTCACTTGGGTATCCCCAGAAGGATATCATCTGACTCTGGATGAAGAATTTAAGTTTTAGATGACTTTAAAAAATGAATCGGGTAGATAGGCATTATTCATTGTTTTTAGTTAGCTATGTTTAAATGTGGTAATATCTCTTAGTTTTGTAGTATCCCCTAACCCTTCCCAAAACTTACGATATTCATAGTCACTTCCGGGCTGTCAGGTGTCAATTTTCCAAATAAACCATGTGTGGTTCCAAATGCAGACACCAGACTTGCCACTGTCAAGAGCAACCACATTTTGGACCTGTCTAAAACAACAACAAAATGCTGTGGTGAACATGTTGTATTTCATACTTTTACCTTCATGAAAATTAAAAAATGCTTGACTTGAATTCTATTTTGTTGGGCAGTAAAGTGGGGCATATGGGTATCAGCACATACATTTTCATGCTTAACATGTTTTCACTCATTGTTGTTGTTGTTGTTGTTGTTAAGTGTTGTCGAGTTGGTTCCAACCCATACCGACCCTGTATAGGGTTTCTGAGGAGCCACTGGTGAGCTTGAACCACCGATCTTGCAGTTCCAATGGCTTTGCAGTCTGGTGCATTTACCCACAGTGCCACGCCAGGACTCTCTTGGCACATTAGATTTTCAAATCATATTGAAAGAAGAATTTTAATTGATAAAATGTCTTCTAATTGGCTGGTACACGTCACATTTTATTATGCTGAGTCGGTACTGACTTAATGGCACCGAACAACAACAACAACAAATGTTTAGGACTTATTTTGAGAACCCTAAGTGGGATGGGGAAGAGAGGGTGGAGGATTGGAATTTTATTTTTCTAGAATCAGTCTCAAAATAATGTGCCTTGAAACCTATCACACGGTATAAACGTCTTGAGACTTAAATCGCATTGTTCACCTTAAAATGTATCTATCAGTCCTGCTTGTTAATGCTTGGTCCTAAAGCAAATGCTGAGAATTTTTTCTTGGCCAATAGCTAGGTATTTGGTATACACTCTAGCCCATTAGACTTGAACTAGTTCTCCTTTCAATTTTTGCATTTTGAATGAAATTCCAGTTTATAAACTTAGAAACTTTTACTGATTTATATTTTGATGGGGCGCTAGCTTTCTGATCTTGTGATACTAATTTTCACTGTTTTCTTAAGGTTCGAGAGCGATTTGTTCTCAAATATTTGGAAGGAGTCGTATGGAATATGGCTTCTACTCAATTCATTCTTAGTGTACTAGCAAGAAGTCATTCAATAAATATTTATTGAAAAACTACTATAAGCTGCAGCCGGAGTGTTCCTTGGAGGCCAGGACGGTCAAACTTCGTCTTTCATACTTCAAACATATTATCAGGAGGGACCAGTCACTGGAGCAGGATATCATGTTTGGTAAGGTGGAGGAAGGTCAGAAAGAAAGAGGAAGATCCCCCCAGCAAGATTGATTGGAAATATGGCAGCATCAATGGGCTCAAGCATGGCAACAGTTGTAAGGTTGGCCCAGAACCAGGCAGTTTTTCGTTCTGTTGTGCATAGGGTTGCTATGAGTAGGTACCGACTTGATGGCACCTAACAACAACTATAAGCTAGAAGCAGTATTTGGGGGTCATATGGTGAGAGATTGCAATTATATATAGTGAAGAACTAAAATTTGAATTGTCAAATTCAAATGGGACCCTTTGGGAAAAAAAATGTCTTCTGATATTTTAACAAAGGCTGTATAACTGGTTGTCATAATTCACACAGAGCACGTAACATACGTTGTTCCTGACTTCCAGGAAGGCCAGACTAGAACTCTCAAATCTGACCCTTAGTGTTTCACTTTGATCACTTATTTAGTAAATTATTATATTTAACGGCATTTCTTTAAAAATGGGTTTTTTAACTAAATCACATCTTTATAATAATACATATTTTAGGAAAGGACTCACTAGTATTTAAAGACCAACCAGTTGTGTTTTAACATTCAAACCATTAGGTTTGCTAAGACATGTCACAAACCATATTTTTCTACCTTCTCTTATCACCACTGGGGAGCACAGTGTCTCTGTAGGATAAGCACTGGACTATAAACTACAAGGTCAATGGTTCAAACTCACCAGCCCTCCTTAGGAGAGAGATGAAGCTTTCTCCTCCTTCAAAGATTTATAGGCTAGGAAACCCTATACAGGGTTATTATGAGTCAGAACCTACTCGACAGTATTTAACAACAACAAATTGTCACCATTATAAGTAATTTACCAGTGTAAAGTGCATATTTTTAATTTATGAGTTGAGTTATGGGACACCCCAAGCACCCAGTCAAATTTATAGGCTCAACAGTGTTCAAGGGAAGAACAATTGTTCTCAAGAAGTCTGAAGTCAAGATCTAACAGAAGAGCAGTAACTGGCATTTACAGAATGCTCACTATGTGCTGGAAACTGTGATCACATGTGCAGGCCAGCTAACTATTTATCATGGCCCTTCTAGTCAAACGTCTTCATTTTGTGATGTATTATAAATCCTAGCCTCTATGCCGGTGATTGGAGTCCTGGCATGGCACTGTAGGATAATCACTTGACCACAAGGTCAATTTGAATCTCAAGGTCAGTGATTCAAACTCACCAGCTGCTCCTCGGAAACCCTATACAGGGTTGCTATGTGTTCGAGTCCACTTAACGGCACTTAATGACCACAACAACAAATGCCTGTGATTATGGACCCATTTTTAAATGAGTTGCTAAGGAGTAAAGATTAAGGTAGAGCTAAGGAGTTCTTGTGTGATGCTGCAGGTTAATGCGCTGGACTGCAAAGTTGGTTTGAACTGCAAGGTCAGTAGTTCAAGCTTACCAGCCCCTCCTCGGAAACCTGATACAGGTTCACTATGAGTTGGAGCTGACTCGTTGACACTTAACAACAACAACCAACAGCAAGAAGTCCTAGTATGGCTCTGTATGATAAGCACTGGACTGCCAACCACAAATTCATCAGTTCAAACCAATCAATCACTTATCAGAAACCCTATACAGGATCAATATGACTTGGAACAGACGGCACTTAACAACAAAGAAGTAAAGATTACAGTGGAACTAAGGATTAAGTATGATAAAGAATTGGACTGCAAGGTCAGTTTGAACCACAAGGTTGGTGGTTCCAACTCACCAGCTACTCCTTGGAAACCGTTCACAGGGTCACTATGAGTAGGAACCTACTCAACAGCATTTAACAACAACAACAACAACACTTTACTAAAGGGCATGACTCAAGTCACCACCATTAGTATATCTTGGGTGCATTGTCTGGGTCCAATTAAGAGTGCTTTGGGCAAGTTGACTCTCTTGCTCTGGATCTTGGATCAGACTCAGTATGTCTGACCTCCAATTTGTGAGACTTTGGTTTTCCAACTGACCTAATTCACCAGCTTCCATAGCTTCGTGCATCAGCAGCCTGCCATCTGACCTGAGATTTGAGTTCCTAAGCTCCTGAGACTATGTGGATGAGAAGATGCCTCCAGACTGATCTCTGAACTAATAATTTGGGACTTGTCTGCCCCACAATTGTGTGAGCCATTTTTTAGAGAATTATGTATTTTGCAAGACATTGTAGCATATTGCAGAACCCTGGGATTTGTGGGAAAGGAGGAGTGGTGATTGATATCAAGGTTTATGGAGTGATGTAGCATATCAGAAAAGTCCAACAGGTGGAAAGTCTTTAACCTCAAACTCAGGTCCCATCGAGTTGCAGTGAGTCCCATCGAGTGCAGTCTTATGCTGATCTTTATTTTTTTGTGTGCTGATCTTTTGAAAAGAAATTATTTGTTCAATTGGTGGGGCTCACTGCGATGACCTGACTCACTGTGGTATGTTGCTATGGGGAAATGGGGATAAGTGGGAGAATGAGGATGGAATCAAAATCACTCATGTACTGAAACAGTTGTGATGTTACAGTCACTTACTCAAGGCAAAAGCTATTAATGGGGTACAGATATAGACTCAAGTCCGGATGAATTAGTTAGTTGGATGCATATGCAAATGCAGAGTGACAAGGAAAGAGCAAGACATACAATTCCTTGATTTTTGTTACCAGTAGTAGCTGCAATGACAAGGAAAAAGAATGTAGGGTGGATAGTAGCACTGAACAAAACACAGATATGGTTAGGTCACAACTTTGAATGCTTGTCTCAGACCTGACTTGGAAAGGAAAAATTGGCTTAGAACAACAGGAAGTACTCCCTAAGACCTCTGGTCACTTAGAAGGTATTCCATGAAGGGAATGGGAAAAAACATGGATTTATTGAAACCAGGAGCTATAGTGTAAAGGAATTGCTTCCGTTTGTAGATAAGTATTGTTAGCTTCCTGAGGAACCATTAGTGAAGTGGATTCTGACAGCAATAAGTTTAGGGGCAGTGTCATAAATTTTGAATGTTACCAAATGGAAGAGTATTATTGGGTTGATGCAAGACACTCAACTCACTATGGAACAGTCACAAATGGTAATATGAAGTCATTTTTCATGAAAGGTTAACCCAGATGGGATAGCCAGCCTAATAGACTGAATAAAATTTGCAGTAAGATGTGTTTACCGGAAGGGAAACTGCCTCTCTCTCTCTTTAAATATTCACTGGAGCACTCCAGAGGAAGCAGCTAACGTGCTGCTTATGGAAGCAATGTTGGAATGACTTTATTGTGTTCATGATATTCAATCAATGAATATGCGTCTTACACGGGTCTTAGCAGATCTACATGAACACCCTATATGTGGCGCTGTGGGCTAATGCGTCAGACTGCAAAATCATTTGAACTATAAGGTCAGTGGTTCAAGCTCACCAGCCTCGCTATACAGGGTTGCTATGGGTTGTAATTGGCTCAACGGCACTTAACAACAACAACAACTGTGAGATGAGGCAGCAATCCAATAAGTTGTGTCAGAATTGTTGCCATACCTTTCCCACATGGATTTTAGAGATGCAGGAAACATAAGGAGAATTAATGGGAGAATGAGATAGAATGTATCCCAGTAGGAGAGAGATTTTTAGGTGGTTACTAAGAAATGGGGTGAGTACAGTGAACATTGATGGAATTGATGCAGGCTAAAGGAGACTAGTATTCAGTGATTGATCTTGCAAATGCCTTTTCTCCGTCCCAATCCAGAAAAGAGCCAGTCACAGTTTACTTTCATGTAGGATAGATCCCAATATACCTTAAGTGTATTGCCTACGGATTATATTAACTCACCCGCTTTCCTTCATAGTAGGATTATAAGAGACTTGGACTTGGTGAGGATCTCAAGTACATTACATTGATGATATT